TACCTTGCTTAGCTTTCTTGGATGAACTTAGGATTTATTGTTAAAACATTTTGGATGTTTTTGGATTGATATATTTTTGAGCGTTTGAATGTTTGAATTTGATATGGATGTTTGAAATTAAAAGCTTATATTTACATGTTTGGTTTGGTTGAATTTTTAATTTGAGCTTAATGTTTATTAGTTTTTGCATCATTTACATATTAGTTGAAATATGACCAATTTACCATTGCACATTATTTATGAATATTGATTTATGAAACTAATGACTAATCTTTCTCTTGCTTGTGATCTTAGCAGCTTACGCTTTAAATTTCTAAATATAAATTGGCTAATTTTTCAAAACCATGTTTAAATCGTTTTATAGAGTCTTTTTTATTTAACAAAAAGGGGAGAATATAGTAAGGGGGAGTAATTTTCAAATTTCAAAAAAGAAAATCTTAAAATTTCTCAAAAGTTTTGTTATTAAAAAGGGGGAGATTGTTGAAAACATTGTGATGTTTCGATATAACAAATTAAGTGTGAATTTTAAGATTATATAATCATTTTTGAAGTATATTCAATTAAATTATTCAAATATAAAAATATCACTCCAAGTTTTTCAAAGGTCAATTGCAAACCTTACTAAAGTGTAAAATTGTGTTTTAAACTTAAAATATTTTTGAAACAATTTTTACAAAGTATTTCGAACCAAAATCGAGCCAAAAATCAATTTTATTAAGGGATGTACCGATGCACTTTTTGATGTATCGATGCACACCCTAATTCGAATGCATTTTTTGTATCGATGCACAAACCATGCATCAATGCACTCATGATTTTATTAAAACATCGAATGCACTTTATGTACCGATGCACAGACCATGCATCGATGCACTGACCATGCAACGATGTACTCCTGGCTCTTTTGAAACATCGAATGTAATTAGTGCACCGATGCACCCCAAGTGTACCAATTCACTAGGTCTTATAACGGTCGAAATATTTGAATTTTACATATTGTGTACCGATGCACCCACCCTCCCACCAGATTTTTAAATGACAATTACTCAGTAACGGCTCTATTGACTTCACCAATGATCCCCAACATTCAGAAGTGATTCAATGTGTATTTAAACAAGCTTAGGAGCCATTGATCAACAACATTTGTGAGAGAAACAAAGAGAAAACCTTAAACATCAACTTTGAGCAAATTCAAGCCAATTTTCCATTCAATATTCATTTTTATTTCAAGAACACCTTTTGTACTCAATTGTATTATTTTTTAGTGTTCTTTCTTTGTTCTAGAATTGTGCAAACATATTGCCTTGTGAGGTTTTTCTGTAAGTTTGGGAAATTTGTATTGTTCTCTTTGGGAGAAAGTGTTATCAAGAATTTGGGGTATAATTCTTGAGAGATTTGTAAGGTTACTCTTTTACCTCAAAAGAAAGACAAATTAGTGAATTTGTGGAAAATCCTTAGTGTGGATAGCTAAGGTAGTGGACGTAAACTTTGGTTGAGAAAGTCGAACCACTCTAAATCGCTGTGCAATTATTTTCTATTTTCTGCAAAAGCTTCCACCAAAATTTTTATTACCAATTCACCCCCTCTTGGCTATTTCGTCGATCGATTAACTCAACAAGGTTCAACAGTTCTATCAATATAGTAATATTCTCATGCTTCCTTAGTTTGTAATTAAGGGCCCAACCATGAACATATATTTAGTCTCTAACCTCAAGATCATATCACTATTCATCATCATACAAACACAATGTTAATACCCCATGGCACCATAACCGTCATATACTAATCACAAATAGGGGAACTTGATATCATACATGCCTAGATACAATTCTCACCAATCAATACAAATGATCTCCCTGTCACAACATAGTTATCGAGTATAGACCATGGACAATATAAATGTATCAAACACACACAAACATAGGCAGGCATCATGGTGTATTATGGGGGGTCACACAACATTTAGAACTCATACCTCTATAGCCTACCAAATATAGTCTGGATAAGACCTCAGTCACACAACACCAGAATCTTCCTCTAGAAAGGCACTCATTACATGTAACACCTTGAACCCGAATAGGCCTAAAGTGCTACATTGTACTGTAGGGGCAACTGCTGAATTTCAAAACCTTTTTCACATTTATTTAAAATATACTATATAGTACCAAAATACACACATAATAGCTATAAAAACACTGTATAAATCAGAGATATAGCAATCCTTACCCGCATTCATTCTTGAATACGAGTTAGAGATGTCACATAATATTTACAAAACAATCTATATTCGAAAATCGGTAAAATTTTGTTTCTTTAAAAAATTATTCAACTTAACCTTTTTTACCAAAATATTTTAATCACATAAAATCAAAATAAAAATATTTTGACCTTCAAATTGATTTCGGTTTTAGATAGCAACTTGACAATTTAATGTTGTATCATATTATAAGTGAAACTGTCTAAAAACTTGAAATCCATTTCAGATAATTAATCAATAAAATCTAATAAACTACTAAGCATGCAAACTACTATTTATATATAATATTACCTATCATAGGTTATTATACAAACCAGATTAAAACCTACTTATATCTGACCAAATGAAATATATAATGCCAACTAAAAACATCAAAACATCAAAAGATATTGTATTGATACTAATGAGGTGGTTTTCAGTAGGAGATGTCAACTATTGCTTCTTACTTTGAACTTTTTCCTTTACCTAGGAGTGAAACAAATCACATGCTAAGTATTCACTTAGTGAAACATATATAAAAATATAGAGTATTTTAAAATATAAAATATAAAAATAATCAAAGTACTATAAATGTCATATAAAAATATATTAACATATAAAATTGGCTTACTGAAAGTCATCCTTTCATCATAAAACCTGTAAAATTAACATTTCATATATAAGGCATGTAACGCCAAATAAATTCTCAATGAAATATTTACTTTATTCAAACCATATAACATGTATTGTTCATATATTCAAATCATATAACATATATTTTTCACATATTTAAATCTAAACATAATTTATTATAATGAGAATGCATGGTATGTGAGTCTATGTTGAGTAACCATCTATTGCATATAAAGTGTCATATAATCATATTGTAGAACATAACATTACTATAATAACGATGAGAAATACATTGCACAAAATACTATGTTATGCAGGCATCAAATACATTGTGTCTTAATGACCAACAAATAAACTTCAACATGTTAAAGAGATTAAATTGAAAATATGAAAACCTACTTAATTTTGATGTAAAATCATCAACAACAAAAAAATCCAAGTCTCTTCTCAACTTTCTTTCTCACGTATGGGTGGTGGTGGTGCTGCTGCTGAGATAAGATATTTAATCCCTCTTATTTAGTTATTCCAAATCCATAAATTACAAATAAAACAAATTTCATTAATTATTCAACTTTTCTAGCACTTTTCCTTTATTATGTTTTATATAATCTAAAATATCTCATATGACACATAATATCAATTCACAATTAATATTTATATGATAATTTTTTAATGGCTTAATATAAAGATAAGTGCTTAAATTATATTCTAAGTTAGTTTTAAGTATTTAAAATAATTTGGGCTCAAAATAGATATCCACCATTTTCAACATTACATTTTTAAGTGTCTATATTTAAAAAAACTTAAGAATATTATTAATTTAAAAACCTAAATTTTATGAAATTACAAAAAAGAACTCAAAACCCTAAAACCTCTCATTCAAACCCTCATATCAATCGTGGTCGACTAGCACTACTTGCCTTCGTCGCGTTGAACGGTCACCTACCCATCATAGGGCTTTCACTATCGATCATTCCTCTTATTGTCATCTCAATCTTTCTAAAATTATATATTTAAACTTAAATCTCTAACCATAATCCTAAAATTATATATTATTTGCGATTATGATAATGGTTTCATATTTATATGGGATGACATTGGGGGTAGAATAATGCCGCCTACATGCCCCTGGACTGAGAGTGAATGGTTTTTTTTTTTTAATTTGTGCTGGCGGGGGAAGGGAGCACTTAGAGGCTTTTCTTTAAAAATAATATTTTTATTTTTATTAAAAATATTTTAAAAAAATATAAACCGATACATATCATTTAACGGTCTTTTTAACATTTGTTATGACGTAGATACTTAAAATCATAATGAAGAAAGCGTAAACTTACTTTTAATGAAAAGTTCTTTAAGCACCTAAAATTAATTTAAAGTATAATTTGATTTTTTTTGGCATCAAGTTTTTCTTATTTATTGTTCCAACGTTAATTTTATTATGTGAGTTTTATTATTCTCAAATTGATGTGAATAAATAAAAATATCTTAAATCATTGTTATTGATCAAATTTAAATAGAAAAACTTAATCTAATTACATTTTATTTTACTAGACTCAATATATTATGTATTTAATAATAATTAAATATTTAATCCTCATGGGATTGATCAACCATCGGTTACTTTGATTAAGAATTGTTTGGGATTAGGGTAATGAAATTCAAGTTTTGAATTTTCATATCTAACTAATTAAAGTTGAATTTTCATATATCACCATCCATTCACGCATGAACAATTAATAAAAGAATTAAATTTAAGAGCTCAATTTTGAAATGTTTTCACCACTTAAGTCATGAATACGGAACATACTCTAGACTAATTTAATATAAAATATGAATTTCAAATTATCCATTGTTTCAAGCAAACACTTAAATTTAAATTATATATATATATATATATATATATATATATATATATCACTAGGTTCGTTAATCTATTAGATCCACACATGAAAAAAAGCAATACAGTTTTAATAATATTTAATTTTTGGGATGTTTATAAAATTAAAAAACAATATCATTATAAAATCGAAAATGAGCCACAGGGAACCAAACTAGGACCTTGAATTCGAATTATAGAATGCATTTTTTTACCCAAAAATCCATTTTTGAGCTTTGCTTGAGATCAACACTAAAACTCTTCCTGTCCCTACACCAGTAGCGTAATACTACAGAGTACATTACACAACATTCTAAGCACATCCGACTCAAATTAAATTTATCATTTTGAGGCAGAAGAACATCGTGCTTTTGATCCCAACAAAACCACCCCAGCCGCCCGCCGTCCCTTTCGAAATAAAAGTTGTTTTCAGTGGGGAAGTGATGCTGCACTTTTTGAATTCTCCCGTAGTCACAAGCATAGACAAAACTTTGTTCTGCAAGGCACGCAGCCTATGTCCCAAATATACGTCTCTGCACGGGTGCTGAATCGAACGATTTAACCACTTCCATCCATGGTTTGTCTATGATCAACACCGAATTTTTTGATAGCTGCCCGATAAATAAAACGGGATCTCGGAAAACTACTATATCAAAATTGTTTTTCCGACATTGCTGGCTTTCGTTCAACCAATGTTTCCTTTTCATGTTGGTAAACTTCAACAAAGCTCCATTTACCAACTCACTCTCGTCGTCTTCGTCTACTGGCTTCCCAAAGTCGATCGAACACATTGCCCTGCAGTTTACAAAATCCATCCATAAGTATGAATGCTTAATGAGATACACCTGCATTTCAAGCCACACCATCAAGCATGCTATAGACTAGGCATTGATATAAATAAAATTTAAACCGCTGCAATGCAGCATGCTAAAACCAACGGGATTAGAACAGCACCTGGAACTGTAAACGATAACGGATGAAGATTTTGATGATAAAGAAGGGCAGAAAGACAACCCGATAACCTCCCCAGGAAATTCTTTGTATCTTTGGGGAAGAGTGAACGAATGCTGCATTGACCATTCTCCCAATTGTCGAGCTTCCACATCAAATATATAGAACTGGTTTGACGATGTTGTGATAATAAGCACATTGCTATCCTGAGGAGGAAAGCCACCGGCAGTAACAAAGGCACCATCCAATCTTGATATAAACCAGTGTTGCCTGCTCCATAAAAACAAGACTAATCAATATATATAAACAGCTTGCAGCCTCCTCCATCTCAAATTACATAAGCCGAAAATTTTTCCAATCTCGTCAACAATGACTAGACCAACATCAATTTAAGAATTGTGTTTAACGCAATGTCTTACCTTTGTGTCTCTAGGCTAAATATGTATATATCTCCAAAGCAATTGATAGCAGCTAACCACTGGCCATCAGAACTCGTGAACATTTTTGTTATTGGAGGCTCATCAAGTGACCCTTCTTTATCATACTCCCCACGACAAAGTGTAAAGGTATGCAGTAGTTTCAAGTCCCCTAAATCTACAATCTGCAGCACAAAGAAGAAAACTAACATTGTTCACACAATCACAAAAAAAGCATTCTTTTGACTCGTATTCTGTATTTTATTGTTCAATTTAAACAATTAAGTTGTAGTGAGGCATATGATGGTTAGAAGAGCTTATATACTTTGATATTGAGAACTCGTTTCCTTGTTCGCTCCTCCGTAAAACCAGATATGTTACAAGAAACAAGTGTACTAGAGTTGAATACACATTAACATATATATGTACTTGGTTTGAGCACTCATCGACTTATAAATACGTACAGAGTTGCTAAGATGTAATAAACCCCACATAGACACTGGAATATTCAGCACAATGTTTCTAGGGGTGAAATTCGAATTTTATAGTTTGAGGCATACACTCTAATCTTGAGAAGCCATAGCCAAAGAGGCAAGAGACCTCAGAAGCCTAAAATTATTTCATAGAATGACACTACTCACTTCACTCACCTAAAGTAAACAATAGCATGAATTATGTACTTTACGGAAAGGGTTTATAAGTACAGAAACTACAAGAAAGTGAAGAGAAGAGACTTACATAGATCCTTCTATCATGCCCTGCAATAAGCATTCGTACCCCATCAGAGGTAAAAGCCATAGAATGTGCAGATGGAAGACCCTGAGGAAGTTGCCGTTTACTTACGCTCCACGTACTTTGGCCAGCTTGCCTACTCAGTGTAAATAGGCTGGGTCTGATTTGGTCAGAATAACCAAAAAACTCGCCAGAGTTAGACATTGCACTACAAATGATCTTTCGAGATGCCTTACTCTTAACTCGAGACACTAAATTAGTGGTTGCAAGGCCACCATAGGGGCAAGAACCCACATCGGGAACACGAACACAGAGAACATCTAACCAAAAGGATCCCTGGACCAGGAGAAAAGAAGTTTGACTGAACTTGAACTAACGACCAGTTGTATGGGAACTCTCTGAGGTGCAGGGCAAACATCATGCGGGGAGAACCTAGTAAACTCCTTAGCAGAGTATGCAAAGAGCTTCGCATCATCACCAGCAGAAACAAGCATAGGAACTCCAAAATGGGCCCATTTGTCATAGCTGCAATCAAGGGGCTTCTTCTCCCTACGAATTCTTTTTACCTTTTTCCCCTGTTCATCTTGCAAATCTTTTGGCTCATCAGATAAAGAACCTAAATATTAGAAAGAAAAATGTACAAAATCAAAAGGTGAAGAAATTGGTGTTAAAAGTTATAAATGCAATTTTATATTTTAATGAAATAAATAAAATAATATATAGACGTGGAACCCAAATCATGAACAGACCTTCTGAACTGATGGGCAATGCCATTGTCAAGGCTCTGATGTCATGGGTGTGAGCTCTTACATAGCCGACATATACCCATTTCTTCATCATTTCTGAAGAAGATTTGCCATCACAAGACTCTAGCTTCTCAGTACAAAGCTTATAAAGAATAACCTAGACAATGTACCAACACAGAAGGCATTAGGGAAGAGACCATTTAATCGACTCAAAATTCAATAAAAATATTTTACAGCTGAAAGATGAAAACTATACAACTATAATTGTTTTCCATTTTTCTTTAACATGTTTACTTCTCTTGGACCAATGGTGTCAAGTCCGCAAGGAGCACTCTAGATACCAGAACCTATATAATTCAGGTGCAAGGCGTAAAACTGTGCTCATCCGAGTAAAATGCAATATGCACGTATGATTTCCTGTGTTCTAAATATTATATATATAGTAAGCTCAAGAATTACGTAATTAACTCGAAAGAGTGATCTAACTTATCAACAACACATGCAATTTTTTTGTTGGTTGTGCATTATCTCCTTAAGGAGAGTCTGATACCCTCTCTTTCTTACTGGTAAAATTTAATGAAGAAAAGTGAAATAAAAGAAATAAAAGAGAACTACAATGAGGTGAGCTTCCTTTATGTGAGTCGCCTTACAAAACAGCGCACCAGGCTTGCTACAGATAAAATGCACCTCACCCAAATGGGTCTGAGGTGCTTTTGTTCTCTAGTACTAAAGTGCAAAGTGCAGGCCTTGAAAACAGAACCATACCTGTCCATCAGACCCAGCAGAGAACACCCTGTTCAGATTTGGAGCTGCTGCCAAGGCATTCACATCTCCTTTGTGGTTCAAATGTGCCTGGAGAAGAGTTCCCTTATCACCATTCCAGAACTGAACAGAGCCAGTGCTGTCCGCACTAACAACAGTTCCACACCTGAATTTAACAATAATCCAATCATCAAAAGGTAGCACATTAATAATTATAGTACAGAAATCGCCGACATTTCAACACATTAAGCTTCTTTACAAATGCATGTCCCTGTTGATGTAGAAGATTTCACATTTACCTCAAAGAAAGTAATGACCATATGCAAAGCTCAGGCCCACTTCCCAAACCTCCAAGAGCAACAGTACTTCTGAAAATTTCTTGACTAGAATCAGCATTCCAGCATCTAATCAACCTGCAAGATGATTAGCACACACTAGACGAGATTAAATTTGGTGAAAGAAGGTGCAGTAAAATTGAACTAATGATATATATATATACATATATCAAAAAGAAATAAATGATATAAGCAATGATAGAAATACTAGGGGTACACCAGACATTAACATTTTCGCTAAATGCATCATATGGTATGCACTTTGATGACATTCATTTTTTTATAAAAGTTGGAGGTCTCATTAAAAACTCCCTTCGTATTCTTCCACATAATTTATTAATTAGAACACCAAGTACATGTGAAAACACTGAATACCCTCATACGGGAATATACACCATTACAAAAAACCATATCACCTAAAAATCTCCCATCATCAAACAAAAAGCCCCAAAGAGAGTAACCTGATTTCTAAAATACACCTCAAGTTGCAAAAGAACATAACAAAAAAAAACACTTGCAAAAAAAAACGCCTCTAAATACAGCTGCCGAACAGTTACGATCCATATTTGAGTGTGGTTCCATCTTATAGGGTGAATTTAATCATAACAGTATGCATGGAAATATAATAAGTACAGTATGCATACAGCATATGGTATTCACTTTAATGAAACAAATATGTACAGGAGTATCAGAAGTACAGTAAGCATCAAAAGTTTTGTTGTCTGATAAATTAAAATGTATCATATGCTATTCACTCTAACAACAGACTTACCCGTCACTACTCCCTGAATAAATCCTAGTTGAGTCATGGCTCCAGGTCACACTTAGAGCATGCCCTGAAAATAAATCAGCACCAAGAAGCTCAGGGTAAAACTAAAGTAAAAGCAATAACCTAACAAGAAAAGTTTCTCAGGTGTAGATATCTCACCACTGACCCGGGGCAACGATTTATGGTACACGAAATTATCCAAATTAGAAACATTATATATCCGCAAAGCTCCATCATCACAGGCAAGCACTACACGTCTATCATCTTTGAGTAGTCCCCGATGAACTTGTTCCGAGTCAGAAGCATCTTCATCTTCAGAGTTCTCTGCATCGTCACTTCCACTATATTCATGTTTATCATTCAAATATCCATTCCCAAAATGTTGAGACCTAGTCTCTTCAGAAGCTGGCAGTTCAATAACCGGTGCCACAGCCATCTGCCAGATTGAAACCCCAATAGACTCTAGCACAATCTGCATAAAAGTTTAATCGACTATATAAACAATCAATAAAAGGACATTTTCAATTCAAAGTGTTGTGTATACTAGAATGAACTTAAAGCGAAAAAGGAAAGGAATGCTATCAAGGGATCTCATAAGCAGAATTTATGCCACCGTATATAGGCCTACGCCAGGGATTTAAATAGCGGTTGCATTCATTGTGATTGCGGATATAACAGATACTACTACCTGTCATTGTGGTATCACGATCGGGACCACTATTTAGATCCCTGCCTACGCATAATAGAAAAATAAGAGGAACAGGCCTCAGGTCAGTACTGCTCCCGTCATTCAAAAACACAACCAATAAAGACGAGTATCCATTTAAGTTGCAGAGGTTGGAATCATTAGAAAAAGCGAAAAGCAATGAAAGAAAATAACCTTCTGTTTCAAGTTGAAAAGATCCCATTCCGAGACTGAGCCATCAATACGCGAAGAGAACAACCTGCCAGAAGACGGGTCTTTCGAACCAACACAACACCACACGAGAGACGATACCCGGCAAGTAGAATCCCCGTGAATAGTCTACACAAAGCAACCAACAAATCAAACTAAAAACCCACATTTGTATGTACATAAACATATGAAAAACAAGAAGATAAAGCTACCAGCTGGTGGTGCCAGCCAACGGAGCCAGGGGAAACAAGCCAAATCTCGAGCGAGCCATCCTCACGGGCCGCGGCAACCTGAGAGTCGTCGGGGCTGGTGGCAAGGGCAACCACCGAAGACGGCTTCCAGTCGACTGAACTGGTTCGATAAGGCTTGAGGAGCATTGGGTCCGTGGCGGCTACAGAAGGAAATAAGATGCTGTGTTTGAAAGCCAATTTGACGGTAATACAGAGATACGCATTAAACACAAAGAGGCAGGGAAGGCGACGCAATTGCTTTATTCTTCTTCCCTAGGTTTTTTTTGTCTCCAGGGTTTAAACTTTAGAAAAGCGACTCACTCACTGAACCCACACTTCTCTCCATTCGACCGTGGTTCGAACCGCTACGATCACCAAAGCCCCTTTGGTTTTACATAAATAAATAGCACAACCAATAAGATAATTTTTAATTTAAATATTATAGATTAAATTAAAAAATATATTTGTAAAGGTTAAATAATTTATAATTAGATTATAAACCAGAAATATTACGAAATATACAATATTTTCGATTTCAACCTAAAATATTACGAAATAGACAATATTTTCGATTACAAACCAAAAATATTACGAAATAGACAATATTTTCGATTTCAACTTAAAATGTTACTATGTCTAACTTAAAAAATTAAACTCTTATAATTTTTTTTTGTTACAATCGATCTATGTCATTTTTAACCTTGCATCTAATTGTATTTTAGACTCTCCTAATGATATAATCTATCTATATGTTTTTAGAGAAGTATCAATTACTATATTTGTTTTATCATCTATAATAATAATCTATCATTTATTTCTAATATATTAAAACATGAATATGAAAAAATAGGTCTAATGACATTCTTTATCCCCAAAATTTAAAAAAAAAATCATTTTGACCTTAAGTTTTTTAGCTTCTTTTGACCTCGAATTAAACTAAATGATGATATTTTAGGGTAAATTACAAAAATAATCATTGATGTTTGAGTAAGTTTTTTTACCTACTAAAGTTTTAAAAGTAACAAATATGTCACTAATATTGTCTAATGACATTCTTTATCCCCAAATTTTTTTTATAAAAAAAAAACATTTTGACCATAAGTTTTTAGCTTCTTTTGACCTCGAATTAAACTAAATGATGGTATTTTAGGGTAAATTACAAAAATAATCATTGATGTTTGAGTAAGTTTTTTAACTACTAAAATTTTAAAAGTAAAAATTAGGTCACTGATATTGTCGATTTGTAATAAATTAATCACTTAACGTTAACACTGTTAATGTGGGTGACAGAAAGTTAAGTTGACCATTAATCTCATACTTAACCCATTGATTGCCTACCTGGTCCGTTCAACACGCTAAGATTAAAGAACCCAAAGCTTCTATTAATTGAATCCTGCAATAATTTATCCTAGTTGAAGATCAACCATGGCTACATGATAAGAACCTACATCATCTTCTCTATTAGGGAAGGCAAAAGGGCGGACCGGGTGTTGATACCCCTTCCTTCATCCCTACCCATCTATATTTTCATATCACCACCTATCCACCACCCACGACGGGTAAATTTTTTAAATCCACACTCATCCATGCGGATACATTTTCAAATCTACACCAGCCCACGTGGAACTTGTGACTATTGACAAAATAATACGTGACACTTTAAAAAATATTTTTTATTTTTTTAAAGTAAAACTCATTTCCCCCTTATTTGACAAAAACATAAAGCACATACTTATGTAAGTATGTGTTAAGTGCTACAAATTTTATTTTATTAACTTCACCGATGTAAGTATGTGTTATATGTTTTCAAAATAATAAGGAAATGGATTTTTTTAATTAAAAATTAAAAAAATTATAAAGTGCCACGTGTCATTTTGTCAGTGGTCATAGGGTTCTACGTCACTTTCCGAGATGGAAGTGGGTGAACCCATTAATGGCAGGAAACACCATGTATAATCAAGAATTTTAAAACATTATGTATGAAACTGATAATTTGATATACTTCAAGTATTAATGGGGTAATTCCAGTTCATAATGGTCTAAAATTTATACAGTTGGTAATTCGTGGACAGGCGGATGTGGGGAGGGCGGTTGTGGGATGAGTAAGGTCTTAAACTTATCACTTACTCACTATCCACAGCGGGTATGATTTTTTCCACTACCAACTAAATTTATACCCATCCCCGCCCCAATTAGAATGGGTGCGATACGAAATCCACGAGATTATACTCATCTGCCATATTCTTTGTCGGTTGTTTGATCTCCCTTTGTACAAACCCTTCCTTTGAACATTTTCATTAGAATACGCTCAGATCGAAACCCCAAATCTCTTAATGTACAATGCTTTGATCAAAGGATTTTCGAGTGAAGACCCGATTAAGTCTTTCATTTCTATTCGAATTGTTACGCGTCGACATTGTCCCCGATAATCTCAGCTTCTTGTTTTTGGTAAAGGTGTGTTCCTAGTTGGAAGCCATTGATATGGGGAATGGGGATTCAAGCTCATGGGCAAGTTATGAAATATGGGTTTGAAAACGATGTTTATGTGTAACACTCTTTAGTTCATATGTATTCGAATTGCTGGGATGTTAAGGCTGCAAATGAAGTATTTCAATGAATGACTTGTTCGAATGTGGTTTCATGCACTTCGATGATCGCTGAGTTTAATAAAATTGGTAATGTTGAAAGTAAACAAGCAGAAGGAAAGATATGCGAGAGAATGGAAAATAATACTTCGGTCTTTCATAAATGATTATCCTTAATACATTTTATACATCCAAATGAATAAACAACATATATAACTGCTTTTCTACCTACCTAACAACCACAACTAATCATAAGTTACAATTAACCACTACACTCCCCCCTTAAGTTAAGGGTTTAAAGATTGATCTAACCCCTAACTTGGACATTAAATACACATGTTTTATTCCAAGGGTCGTGGTTAAAATATTAGCAGTTATTCTGCTGTGGGAATATACTTTGTCTTTATCAACTCTTTTTGTACTTTTTTCTCTTATAAAGTGACAATCTACCTCTGTAACACCCCAAATTTTGCCTAGTGACCAAAATATAAATTTTAAAAGTTTAGTGATAAAGTATAAACTTTATAAAAGCTGAGGGACCAAAAATATAATTTTTTAAAAGTTATGTATTTTGGCCCGTAAATGAATAGTTCACTCTGAAATTGATGTTTTCGTGGGAACCATAATTTTGATTCAGGATTTGTATTAAAAACTATAAAGCAATAAAATCCAATAATAATTCGGATAATCAGATCTAATCGGAATTTTGAGAAATACTGAAGGATGATAGAAAAATGTTAGAAATATTATTCCCATAATTTAGAATGTAAAGTTTAACATGGAAAAGTGGAATTAAGGTCGATTTTTCCATGTGAGCCGAAATTGAAAGTTTTGGCGACTAAATTGTAATTTTCAAAAATTTCAAAGGATAAAGGTGGAAAGTGAATTTTATTCGTTCATCTTTGACTTTTGATTATTAAAATGGAAGATATTATGGTGGCAAGTGGAAATTATCATATTTTAGCAAGGGTAAAATGATAATTTTCTAATAAATGAATTTTAAATTCATTTATATTAAACATAAGTCAAGTGTATTATGAAATTAGTGTAGAAAAATTAAGAAATCGGCCATCTTGTTCCATGTTTAGTTGTGACCTCCATTGAAAGGTAAGGGAAAGTTTTCAATTTCATTTTTAAGCTTATATGGTTGATTTTTGGTCTAAAGTGTGAAATATAGAATTAATTTACTTGAAATTCTCTATCCTTTAGTATAATTGGTTCATGAAAAACTTGCTTGGATGATTGATTCATTGATTAGGGTTCATGAAGGGCAAGTTGAATTATAAAGAATTAAAGGTTAATTTTTATGTTATTGGTGTTGTAGATTAATTTCCAAGCTTATGTAATAATTAAAATCATCAAGAAATTAACATATACAATGCGGCCATAGCTAGGGTTCATTGGAAATTATTGACTTGGACTAAATTTGATGTGGGAATGATTGGAATTACATAGAATTGATCTTAGGAGCTTGAATTCATATTTGAAATTGTATGAAAATCACGCCTTAATGCACAAGATAGGTTCGACCTAAAGGAATAATTATGGGAAAATATGCAAAAATTTCCTTAAGTTTAGAACTGGTGTTAGAATGATTCTACATGCTTTGTAAGCTGATTTGGATCAATTTGTAACTTTGTGAAAGTAAGGGACCATTTTATAGGTTTTGAGAAATTTAGGGGTTGATGTACAAATGATTAATTATTGGTGTAAAATGCTAGAAACTAATATTGGAATGTTGAATTTGAAGTTATAATATTGTTTTGGATCAAATTTGCAAATTTGGTAAAGTTTGATACGACCATGCAAACACATCTCTGTATTCTTGAAGTAAGACTATCAAGTCTCATCTTGCTTCAACTGAAAGAATTGTGCTAATTTTGACCTCATTTCTCTCCTCTTCGGTCCCTACACTAAGGAAGATCATGATGCACATCTTCATATTGTAATTCATACTTTGTGAGATAAAAATGTTGGAACCATCGACGCACCCCATGACGTAGCGGAAAAATAATTCGATGGTTTCACTAGCAGTCCAAGTACGAAATACCGAAATCGGGAGGAAGAGATGCAAAATTTCACCTTGGGTTTCTTGAATAGCAGCAAAGCAGCAACAGTCACGAGCGGTTCGAATCACAAAACCTCCACGAAATTACGTCTCAGCCTCAACTTGGTTCACTCGATTAAGAACAAAAATTCTACTTTTCCCAAGACTGTTTTGAGAAAACGTGTAAAGTCTAAGGAGAAGAGAGAAACGACTGTTAGACTAATCTTTTCCTTTTATAATGTTGTTGCCCTAATACTTAGGGTTTTATGAATTAATTAAAAGAAAATAATTACATTAATTATATTCCTTTTAATATCTATTTAGCATATATGGGATAATTAAAATCATACATATCATATATATATATATACTAATCTTAATTATCTATATTTTAATTTAAGTACAATAAAATTGTACACATGTAACTTATTATAATTTGCTCATCTCAACCATTGAGTGTGACCCCGAGGTTCCTATAACGTTAGTAATAATATTAAAACCATTCTAACACTACAAACAATGAGTGACATCTAGCAATATATCATTTTCATCAAAGTTACAAGAAATCATGATTCGACATAACATCTTCGTGACCAGCTCTATTATGTGTTATATAATTTT